GCACTTTGGGAGGCCGAGGTGGGTGGACATGTCACGAGGTCAGGAGTTCGAGACCAGCCTGACCTGGTGAAATGCTGTCTCTACTAAAAACACAAAAATAGCTGGGCATGGTGGTGGGCACTTGTAATCCCAGCTGCTCAGGAGGCTGAGGCAGGAGAATTGTTTGAACCCAGGAGGAGGAGGTTGCAGTGAGCCGAGATTGCCCCATTGTACTCCAGCCTGGATGACAGGATGAGACTCCGTCTCAGGAAAAAAAAAAAAATTATTAAGTCCTTTCTGGTTTTCCCATCCAAAGATAACCACGGTGAATACTTTGGGGTGGAGTTGTATTATTTTATTTTTGTGTATGTACTTTTGTTCCCTTGGTAAGCCACATCACAAGTATATACTGTTGCCTGCTTTTTAAACTTACACATATATTGTGAATATTTACCGAGGACAAGTGTCATGCTATAGATTCAATTTTGTACGGAAGTATATTTTATGTAGTTTTTCTTAAGACAACACTGAATAGAAATAGAGACTATGGTATTAACCCATTTATGCCTGGTGTTCCATTATTGGAACACTAAGTTTGTGGGAGTTGTTTATACCCTGCTGTTCAAGGTCATCACCAAGGTCTGAGTTTCCACACAAAAAAAATTACAACCTCTGGTATAAATGGGTTAGGTCCTAACCAGCAAAGGCATTCCTTAGCTAAGCGGATATTGGTCCAGCTGAATTACTTAACTGTGATTTAACTCGGTATAGGAATAGCATTTAGAAACCTAGAGCAATGGAAGATTCACTTGGCACTCTCAAATTTCAGCTGCCTTATCTGGGCTTGAGCAAGAGTTGGATGTCAGTTCATTGAAAATGAGCTTTCTGGCAAGGCCTCTGCAAACGTTTTGTCGTTTTAATTGAGTGAGAGTTCTCTGCTCCGGGTAACAAATGTGTTGATGGCAAAGCTGACGTTTGCTTATGAAAATGAAGTAGGTGGACCTGTTGATATTGCAGAAGAGCGGCCCCCTTGCTTCTTCGGCAGCATTTCCTTCAATTCTTTGAAATTATTAATGCATCCCCTCCTCCTTCCTTAGGATGGTGGGGAATCACAGTTTATGTTCCAGACCTCATTCACGTTGTGGAGCTATTTAAGCTAAAGGACCCTAATTGAAAAGATCATAATTTCTTAAGATTGGAGGGTTTACAGAGACTTGACATCAAGCGATTTCTCTCAAACCACCAGTCATTTAGAACAGAAAAGGACAACATGAGGTTTTTTTTCCCTGGGTTACCTAAAAAGGAACAGATAATAATTAGGTGGAGTTACCATAAAACTGTAGGGTTGAGGTTAGACTGTCTGTTTTTAAAATTAATTGGTTTCTCTTCTTGGGCAAATTACACCATTTCAAGTCATAGCTGAGCCATTAATTGCATACGTGCTGGTTGTACTGCCAGGGCCTCCTTCACTGAATTCTGTCTGGTGGGGCACACGGGAAGCAGGGCCAAACTAAGATGAAGTTTCATCCTCAGTCTAATAGGAAAGTTTCTGGTGTTCTAAAGCAAAAACACACGTCAAATTTAAAGTCTTAGACTTCTATCCTATAGCACTGTCTAAAGTTCATCGTAAGAAAGGGTTTCGATACATAGCATGAGACTCAGGTTTTTAGCCAGAAATGTAAGAAGCATTTTCCACATTACCTTTGCTCCATGTACCCCTGAGACTGACGAGTCCATGTGGAGCCCACACTTTCCTGTCTTCCTTTTCTTTCACTACCTTATTGGATTTGCAAACTCTTGTCTTCGCTAATAGTAAGTCATACTTACCTTGTGCCAGGCAGGCTTCTAAGCACTTTGCAGAGAACTCATTTAACTATCACAGCAACCCCAGTTTACAGATAAGGAAACTGAGGCACAGCGTAACTCAGCCAAAGTGGAGCTGGGATTCTCAACCCCATGGCCCGATTCCAGAGCCAGCTCTTGACCATGATGCTATAGATTGCCTCCTTAGTATGTTATTCTTTGAAGGCAGGAATTTCTTACCCACCCCATCTCCCAAATAACATAATGTTGTTTTAGTATCTTCCTGGCTTCCTAGCTTGAAAATTTCTCAAAGATACAAGATAGAAATGGATTTTGACCTTTTGAAACACATGTGGCACCATTAAGTCGCTTATTGTACATGAGTGGGCAGTATTCAGTCCACACATTTATTGATCTCTATTATGTGCCAAGCACTGAAATTATTTACATCTTCAAAGAATTGTTATGACTGCCAAATGAAAAACATTTCTCCATAAAGAGCATTATCAGGGGCTCCTTGATTTGAATGGGGGGTCATTGCCGTATAATTTGGTCCTTGCTGACTTCCCAAAGCTGGAGGAGTTCTGAGAAGTTCTCTCTCCTCCGGATGTCACTGCAACGGAAGAATGTGTAGCTTGTCACCAATTCTGTGCATGTTGCAGTTCAGTCTCATTTGCAAAAGGACTTGTCCCTTTATAGGTGGGATTGGCTTTTCTTTAAATTAATTGCCACATCTCTATGTTTGTTCTGCATCCTTTTTCTTCAGGAGCATATCCTTTGTGAAAATGAAGTGCAGTACCTAGTACAGTGTCTCTTAATACCAGGGAATGAATATATGGGCTGCATTTCGTTTTTTTTGTTCTTTGTTAGTAAGTTCTTTAAGTGGCATAAGAATATGGGTCCATTTTAAATCCACTAAGAGAAAACACTAACAACACCATCTTATGTCCATTCTCTGATTTTGACATCTCAGAAATTAGGATGCGTTTTATTGTTACTAGCATCATGGGATTATGATTGGCAGTATTTTTAAAATTTGTTGTTGATAGATAAAACAATGGTGCATCTTGCAGTTAACATCCTAAATTTGATGAAAAATGGCATATATTTAATCCTTGCACTTTCTGAGAGGCGTGTTGGTAGAAAGTTACATTCCATAGAATTTTGCCTCTTGTTGAAAGAGATACGTTTGAAGTTGTTTTTATTTTTCATATTTGGGTTTGGAAGAGAAAAGCCAGTCATTTGTTTTCCAAGTACTTCATTGTAAGTTGTTTTTAAAGTTACAAAAGTAGTGTCATGTTTAGAATCTCATTTTCTAAGAAGATGAAAACAGTTCTGGAAATGGATGGTGGCGATGGCTGCACAACACTGTCAGTGCCACCGAACTTCACATTTAGAAATGATTAAGATTATTCATTTTATGTTATGTATATTTTATCACAGTAATTATTTTCAAAAACAAGTAATATGATACTTATGCCATTGTCCTTTGATAGAGAGAGGCATAGAATAAAAAGTGAAAGTTGCCTTTGTCCATACGCATTCCACCTTCTCCCAATTTCCCTCCTTGTGTACTTCTTCCTAGAGGTTTGGTGTGCATCTTTTCAGATACTTCTTTCCTCCTAAGAGTCCCTTAAAGATGTGTGTGGGTTTCATTACTCCTTCAAGTCATTTTTCGCTATAATAAATACACTTGTGACAGTTAGGTAAAATAAAATTTGAGAGAACATAATCTGGTAACTGCTTTTTTGATCTTAGGATGAAATTTACTGTTTTATTCTCCATGATATGTTTTTCTTGGAAGTAGTCTGTATAAATGAATTATTGTAGCTAAACAACTTTAGCTCTTAATACATAGTGAAAAGAAAGTATGAGGAAAAGCATGACATGATAGCCTTAAATTAGCTGCCCAGCAGAAGCAGCCTTTACAGGGTTTCCTTGCAGTTGACCACCCATCTTCCCTCTGTTGGTGGGCAGCTGTTGTCTCTTAAACCTGAGTCTGGGCTGCTGCAGTGCTTTACTCAGTGGTCTCCCTGTGTCCACTCTGGCTTCCTTCGGCCCTCTTCTCTCTTCCTGGGGAGTTCAGAATGTGTGGGCCTTCATCTTGTCTTCCGCCGCATTCCCTTTAGAGGCTTCCTGTGGCCTTTGCAGCACAGAGGCCTGCATCGCTGGTGCACTCTGCTGGGCCGTGCACATTTGTCTCTGTATTACTCCATTCTCACACTGCTGATAAAGACATACCCAAAATAGGTAATTTATAAAGAAACAAAGGTTTAATAGACTCATAGTTCTATGTAGCTGAGGAGGCGTCACAATCATGGTGGAAAGTGAAAGGCACGTCTTACATGGTGGCAGACAAGAGAGAATGAGAACCAAGCCAAAAGGGAAACTCCTTGGAAAACCATGAGATCTCATGAGACTTATTCACTACCATGAGAACATATGGGGGAAACTGCCCCCATGATTCACTTATCTCCCACTGGGTCCCTCCCACAACCTGTGGGAATCATGGGATCTATAATTCAAGAGGAGATTTGGGTGGAGACACAGCCAAACTGTATCAGCCTCCTTCTTCGCCTCACAACAGCCCATTTGTGCCCCGAATTCCCTGAGGTTTACCCAGGGAAGTTTCAGGGGAAGGCTCCCTGTTCTGTTGGTCTAGCTCATGTCCTGTGTTCTGCCCTTTGGGAGAACATCTCTTAGTTCATAGTAATGAATTAAGTCCCATTATTCCCATTAGTCTTAGTATTCTGATCAGTGTCTGTCTTTCCTGATGTCCTCTCCATGAGTTGGGGACCATGTTTTTGTTTACCACTGCACCCCTTTAGCTTAGTACATACTTGGCACTTGGTTCAAAGAAGAGTTTTTGAGTGAACAAGCTGATTTTTGTTTTTTGTTTTACAGAGCTGAGAAGTTTATAGGTAGGGAGTTGATAATATCACCGAATTAATCTGCATACCTAGACCTTTGTGCCCTGGCAGTTTGGTTTTCAGCCATAACTAAACAGTTTTAACACTCATCATTTTTTGCTGGGGTTTTTTTGAAAATTAGACTTTGCAATAACCAGTAACCAAGGCTTTCATTAAGAGGAAGCAAGCAGGCCAAGTAGCTTTTTATCATCCCATGGAACACGGCGATACAAAATGAGCAGATACATGAATTCCTGAAAATCAGATTGGAATAAACTGTTCTCTAACCGATACTTATTTTAATTCCAGAACGTGGTCCAAGACAATTCCTGGGAAAGTTGAATTCTTCTCGAGTGAGGGTTCTGACACATCTGTACCAATTCCAGTAGTGCCACTACGGGGTGTGGACGACTCCTACCCGCCCCAGAAGAAGTCTTTCATGATGCTCAAGTACATGCATGACCACTACTTAGACAAGTATGAATGGTTTATGAGAGCAGATGATGATGTGTACATCAAAGGAGATCGTCTAGAGAATTTCCTGAGGAGTTTGAATAGCAGCGAGCCCCTCTTCCTTGGGCAGACAGGCCTGGGCACCACAGAAGAAATGGGAAAACTGGCCCTGGAGCCTGGTGAGAACTTCTGCATGGGAGGGCCTGGCGTGATCATGAGCCGGGAAGTGCTTCGGAGAATGGTGCCGCACATTGGCAAGTGTCTCCGGGAGATGTACACCACCCATGAGGACGTGGAGGTGGGAAGATGCGTCCGCAGGTTCGCAGGGGTGCAGTGCGTCTGGTCTTACGAGGTAAGAACACAATTCTTTACCATGGGAAAAACTTAATTTTGTCAACTTTGTCATTAGTTCTGAGTGTGTCATAGGAAACTAGAGATGATACCCTTTTCTAGAGTTAAAGTTGGTATTATTCTACATTTTTATCCTTAGATTTAAAAAAGAAAATGGCATTTGGGACGTAAAGAAAAGATAATGGCTTGCTGATGGTCATAGTGATATTTTCTTGATTATCCAGAAAATCATCTTGTCTAACATTTGCTGATTCCACAGATGTAATTGCTGGAGTGTAGGGTATCTCCCTGTTTGTTTTCCCAGAGGCCTGGCTGTTCTCATCTGGTCATAATGACCTACATAGTTTAGAAACTTAATGTGTTTTGAATTTGTAAAAGGAATCATGATGTAAAAAGCCATTAGCATTTGGCTTTGCATGTGTTGTGTACCTTGAGTCTTCAGACAGTTAATTATGGTCTGTGAGTTTACAAATAGTTGTTGCTTTCAGAATAGGTGTCACGTCAGCTTCTGAGTTACTGTGACACATATGTGAAATTTGCCGAAGGAAGTCTGCTTGTAGATGTTTTCTCTGTCCCTGTTCTAGAGAAGATGAGTTGGCTTTGGACTTGCCTCTGTTGTGATTGGCGACGTGCTCCCTCTGCCTGCACTTTGCAGGATCTCGTATCAGTTAGGGTGAAAAAAGTTATGTAGGTCGTGTTGTCTTTAGGTTGATAAACTACTGGCAGTTGTGAGGATCACAAGGAATTGTTAGACCTTTCGCCTAAGAAAAAGAATCCGCTTGCCGATACGAACTATTAGCTTTTCTCTGAACTAACTTTCTAAAGCATGTACGTGAGTGGGAGAATAGTATGCTTGCCTGTACTTGACTTGCTTTTAGATGTCTGCTAATCACTCTTATTTATTTTTTTGTTTGAACTTTAGAGAAGTGGACATTTTCAAGTATGCAGGGTGTGGTCATGTAATTTTTAATTATAAAGTCACAAAGATACATTTTAAATTTCGAATGTGGTCTTGAGTGAACTCTTTAATCCCTGCATGCCTTACATTATCCCCCCAAACCCAGCACATAGGGGATGGATACTAGGCCTACAGGATCTCTGTATTGTCACGGATTTTTGCAGCGAGGAAAGCTGTGTGAGGATTTCACGGTGCTATAAGCAGAATACAGCTGGCAATATTTCTGCATTTTCCCCACTATAATTAGTTATAGCCTTGACACATTTCATTATGGTTAAAATATGTAATATGTTGTATACGTTGGAATACTTCTCCCGATCATCATTTCTGAGAAGCCAGCTTTCTTGCTGGAATCATAAAAGAGGGACCTTCTTTTGGGAGAGAATTTTTAAAAGTATGTCTTAGGGTGGTCTTGTTGTTATATACTGCTGGACAGACACCAACAGAGCCAGTATCTTCAGTTTGATCAAGAACTTGGTTTTAGCATTAGTGCCAAGATGTAGTTAGAAAGTGCCATCCTGGGGTTGTGGAGGTGGGAAGCCGTTACAGGGATGGTTTTCCTCTGATACAATGTAATCAGAAGAGGTTTCTGATGGCCTATGAAGGGGTGCCTGGAGTTATCCTGTCTGGACACTTGGAGCCTCCTCTTAGGCTTGATGCCACCGTGCCTGGTTAATTTTTGTATTTTTAGTAGAGACAGGGTTTCACCATGCCGGCCAGGCTGGTCTTAAACTCCTGACCTCAGGTGATCCCTACGTGCCTTGGCCTCGCAAAGTGCTGGGATTACACGTGTGAGCCACCGAGCGTGTCCAGCCACTCTGCACTTCTTTAAATGCTGTGTGGTGACAGAGCTTTGACTCAGTGTTGCGGGCCTCTCCTCAGGGGCTTGTGCCACAAGGCCCTCCCACCTGCAGTACCCAGAGCTCTCTTTTTCTCTTCTGTGAGCTGCCTTGCCTGTGCCTTGGCCCATATTTCTGCTGAAATGTTGTCTGTCTTATGGTTTTGTTGAAGTGCTTTATTGTGGATAGAGTATCTCTTCTCAGAGTAGAACTTACCTTTTCACCTTAATTGTGGAATTTTTATTGTCCACGAGTTGTGAATCTTAAATGCAATCTAATGCATCATTGTTTGCCTTTACAGTTTATGCTTTTGTGCCATGTTTAAGAAACTCTTCCCTTCCTTAGGTCACAAAAATTTTTTCTTCTATATATTTTCTTATATGTTTAAAGTGTTGCCTTTAACGTGTAGTTCTTTATTACAATTTTAAGAGTTACATCTATTGGAATACTTACCATCTTATCAGACCTTTGATTTCTATTTTTTTTTTTTCTTTTGTAAGGCTTGTAAGTGCTTCTAACCTAAGTCGTTATTAGGATTTATCATTGTGTTCACAACTCAGGTAAGATTAATCCTTCGTGTGGATGAGGAAGTTTTACTTAACTTCCTGTAAATCTAGTTTCCCCATTAAGGTTGACATTATGGGAAATTATCGAGGTGGAGTCTTATGTTAAAGACAATTATGTTAAGCTTTGGGACTTGGAAGGCACTTATTCTGTCCTTTTATAAGCCTAGCCAGAAGGTAGACTTTCTTTTTGGCAAGTAGAAATAATACCTTGGGATAACACTTAGGTAATTAAAATGACTTGTGAGGAACAACTGTCAAAATCAAAGTCCAGCTTCATTTCTAAACTTGTTTTGATAATTATTGGTGGTTATTAATAAACAGCGCTGAGAACTTTGTTTGGAAATAACGTTAAATTCATAGAAAAGTCACAGGAGGGTGAGAGCGTCGGCCTTGAGGCTGGAGAAGAGCTGAGAGGAGCTCAGCTCCTGGTCCCCCTAGCCACATGGTGTCAGCAGTATTGACTCGACTCAGGCGAGGGTTTTTTGAGAATTACTATTGAAAATTTTGAAATAGGAATTCATGTTATCTAGGCAAATATATGAAATACTGTACTATTAATAAGAGGGAACACAAAGTTGACTTAGGTAACCTGTTCATTCTTTTTTTTTTTTTTGAGACGGAGTTTTCGCTCTCATTACCCAGGCTCGAGTGCAATGGCGCGATCTCGGCTCACCGCAACCTCCGCCTCCTGGGTTCAGGCAATTCTCCTGCCTCAGCCTCCTGAGTAGCTGGGATTACAGGCACGCGCCACCGTGCCCAGCTAATTTTTTGTGTTTTTAGTAGAGACGGGGTTGCACCATGTTGACCAGGATGGTCTCGATCTCTCGACGTTGTGATCCACCCGTCTCGGCCTCCCAAAGTGCTGGGATTACAGGCGTGAGCCACCGCGCCCGGCCATTCTGTCTTTAACTTTTGAGTTGATGTGTATTATACCTATGGAAAAGTGCACGGGTCGTAAGTGTAGAACTCAGTGGATTTTCACAGACTGCATGCAGGCAGCCGGTTCCCAGATCTATTTATCTTTAATTTTCACATGTTTGACTAGGGGTGAAGGTGTAGACAGTAATCATTATTAATGACATTTGGATATAGATAGAGGTAGAATTTGACAACTTTAATATGTTAATTGTTTTTAATAGCAAATAAATCCTGTCACGTGGCTCAAAATTCAGAAGTGTAAAGGGCTTACAGGAATACGTCTTTCTACGTCTGCCTCCAACCCCTGGGCTTCCATTTTGAGTCAGCCACCACCGTGCCTCCTTATGGAGGTATCCTGTGTGTCATATCATATACAAGCAATTAAGTTTCTGCTTCTCTCCCCATTTATATGAATGGTAGCATAATACCTACTATCTGCATCTTGGAAGATTTCCTATTTGGTAAATAAAAGAACTTTGTCTTTTTGATGGATATTCAGGCTATTTCTAGTTCTTTCAGCAGTGTTTCTAGTCAGCCATTTAGCCCAAGGTTCCCCAACCTTTTTTCCCTGATGACATTGACTGAATTCACTCACACTGAGGAGCCTGCCTCCACGGGCTGCTATTACCCCAATCCCTAGCTACTGCCCAACCACCACCCTCTCCACCCCCACCCTCCCCACAGCTTCATACCACCCTAGGCCTGGAAGGATTGTTATCTGGGCACAAGTGGAACTTGTTCATGTTATACCCGCATGCCAAAATAAACCAGTTATGAAGCTCTGAGTTAGCCATCAAGTGCTTGTTAAGGGCTCATTAATGAGCCTAGAACTGCCCTCTGAATTGGAGAAAAACTGCAAAAGATTGAAACGTGAATGGCCGCCTTTTTCTCCCTCAAGGACTTCAGAGTAGTTGAGGAGACAAAGACCATATGTTCATGAAACAGTTGAAGAGAAATTAAAAATATGAAACCCAGTGATACTGATTTTAAATATAAAACAGGGCAGGGAAGGGTGAAATGGTAACGTTCTTTTTATAGGAAGGCACGTCATCAGGGGAACCGAGTTTGCAGCCAAATGTGTAAAAAGATAAAGTCTTCCTTGTTGGTCTGACTGTCTTATAAAAGAATGTTGAACATCCATATACCAGAAGCCTGGGATATTTTTCCCTTTACTAATAGAAGAAATGTTGTTGTTTTTTTTTTAATTGACACATTATAATTGTACATATTTGTGGGGGTACAGTTTAACTATACGTGTATATGCTGTATAATGATCAAATCAGGAAGGTTAACACATCCATCACCTCATCAGAGGCTTTTGAATGTTCTCACCACAAAGAAATAATTTTTCTTGACTGTTAGTTGTCATGGAGATGGTTTGTGTTACAGTATTTCCATCTTCACTCATTTAGGCTGCCCATTAACCTCGCAGGTCTGAGAACCAGGCAGACCCTCAGTGGCTAGAATACATGTTCCAAAGGCTGAGCACTCATGCTGCATGTTCTATCCATTTTCAAAAGTGGGGGATTGAAATCTGTAACGTTATTATTATTATTATTTTGAAATAGAGTTTCGCCCTGTCATCGAGGCTGGAGTGCATTGGCACGACCTCGGCTCACTGCAACCTCTGCCTCCTGGTTTTAAGTGATTCTCGGGCCTCAGTTTCCTGAGTACCTGGGATTACAGGAGTGCACGACCATGCCCAGCTAATATTTATTTT